ACTTGTTTGAAATTTTTCCATGTTATCGACTACAAACGATAATATTAAGGGCAAGAATTCACTGGGTAGTGGAAGAATATTAAACTTCTTAAATAATTTCCTGCAAGATTCTCTCCTTTTAGTGCCTGCCATTATTCTAATGATTCTCTTTTGAATGAAAAAATATGTTCTTGAATTGATGTTTCCTTCTCCTTCTTGGACATATTCCAGTAGGTTGATGGAAGTACCTTTGCCACGGAAGGGGTTTACAAGTCATCCTTTCTACACAATTATGTCATTTCTTTTGATATTCTCGTATTTATACCAAAATTTCTTCTTTGTCTAGCTGTTTTCTTAAGTCTTCACTTCTCGTACCGGAAATCGAACTCCGACCGTCCTGTATTTTCTTACTGGCCTCAGAAGAAAAGAAAGTTAGGTTAGGGGCAAATCGGCATATTTATTTTCGAACTGTAATATAATAAGCAAGTAAACTCCTCAAACCCCAATTTCAAACTTACGTAAGACTACCCGAGTGACCTCCTCGACAGGCTATAACAATATTTGACAATGTTTATTGCCCGAAAACTTTTCATAGGCCCGTCTAGTGTCAGGAACAAGACTCTGGACTCGGGGTCCTTGAAATGTTATTTTCCATGTCACGCACCTCCTTTAACTACACGGAACAGCCATCCTCAGCTGTAAACACAATTGCGTTAGTAGGTTTGTAAAGTCGTGTTTCGTGGCGTTCTTTGCTGGCCTTAATTGTCATATTAAAGTGTTATATATTTACTGTAAAGATAATAAATGACTAATTTAATCTTTTAGACTAATACTATTAATGCGATAACTTATGGGATGGTGTAACGGACTGGACATGTAGCACGTATGTGATAAATTAAATGCACACAGAATTTTAGTCTCAAAGACTGGGAGACCCAGAGCTAGATCTTAGGACGCATATGTGTGAATGGAAAGGAAGTGTGATACAAGAATTTGGGCTTGGTTCAAATGACCCTGTGCAGGGACCAGTAACGGACGCTTCAGAAATTGTAGTTCTGCGTTTCAAGTCGCTTGCAGTAACCATTAACTTCTATTAAGTTCTAAAACGACAAAGTCATATAATCGTCGAAATCATCGTGTTTGTTCTTCTTCATTGTTAAAGGTATAAAATAAACGGCTAGATGAAACGGGAGCTCAGATCGCAGACAGGCGTAATGTTATTTGTTGCAGCTGTGAAAATGTAAAAGTCTGGAAATTGAGGGAAGCCCGGTGAAGGAGCAGACGTTGCGTTGTGTTCTATCATGGCAGGGCTGGTTGGGATAAGGATTTATGATGCAGTGTGTGTAGTTGGTAACTGTACAGACGTCGTTCCACAAAACATCAGTTATTTATAGGACGACCTCGACCAGACTTATTTTTGTCCCTTTTGATTTCAAATAATTGTAACAAAGGTGTCCAGCAACGGTTAGAATCTGCATGAGAGACGTGACCTTCATTGATATCTCAAAGAAGAATCAAAGAATTACATAGATCTCGGTCCAGCGGCTGGAAGATGGCAGTCCCATCACTGGAGTGCTCATCGGGACGCCGACTAATACTTGCAAGCCTCAAAATAAACAGCCGGGAATATCTACTGTTGACGACTTGAGCAAAGAAATGAAATACGCGACATGCAATGTGAGAGGAATTTATTCTAAAGAGGAAGAACTGGGCCACTTATTAAAGGAAAGTAAAATCGAAATCGCGGTGATAACAGAAAGCAAGAAAAAGTTAAAAGGAATTAAAGATACCAACAATTATTCTGTCATATTCATTGGAGTAAGGGAAAATGCACGCTCCCAACCGGGAGTCATGATTTGGATCCATAAATCATTGTCAAAATCAATGGACTTTTACAAATTCTGGAATGATAAAATTATAGAAACAAGATTAAAAATAAAAAGAGGTTGTCTCAAAATTTTTAGGACCGCATGCACTGGAAGAGGGAATAAATGAACTGAATGATGAATTTTATGAAGAACTACAATCCATTTTATACCAAATAAAAGAAATGGCCATGTGTTGTTCACGGGTGATCCAAATGTAAGGATTGGAAACATGAAAGTAAGTAACATTTTTGGGACGAATGGGGAAGTTAAGTCAATAAAAATGGAAGAAAACTAACAGACTTTTGTCAATTTAATGACAAATTTACGTGGAGCTCAAGAGGAACAAAATCAATATTTGAGTGCACCATTGCAAATCAGAAAACTGTAAATTTAATTACAGATTTGAGGGTCTGTTCAGGAGTGGTTTAGTGCCACGACGTGAACCACGGACTCCGTGATCAGGTCTAGAGGAGACGGTGCTTCTGAACTGGACCGAGCTGTCAGTAAGACCCGTCTGTTGCAGACCAAAAACACAGCTTGCGTTGATTTTCTGAGCACGTATCGTGTGCACAGAATTTACCCAGTTCTGGAATGTTCCTCAGTTTAACAAACAAAGTTTTATAGTTATTCTCGGGGCACTTCCGTCTTCCCTGCAGCATTCGACGCTAGTCGCGCACAGGACTTTGAATTCTCGACCTCGATTGGTCTCGTTAACCATTGTCAGAGCTAACACAGAGAATGATGCCAAGTTACAAATATGTAAACATCATTATTCGTTACATAGCTTCAATCCATTTCCTATGGTTTACTAATGCTTAAACTTGCTCTTGTTGGTTAACACTTAACAGTAATCCAATGTATCTTAATTAGAGCTGCATGGTTAATACAAACGTTATCCATATATAATGCTACTTCTCTAGAATCTGGCGAATGCAGAAAACTTGATCAATTGTGGATCTATTACCCACTCTGATAATCTCCAGTAATTTCACCGGCGTATGGAATCAGCCCCGTCGGAAGAATGTTGGATAAAATTTTTAAACAGGCAAGAGAGATTCCCGGACACTGTTGCGGTATTTATAGCGTTATTTTTGTTTCATTGCGTCTTATTCTAAAGTACCAAATACCAGGATGTGAAGAAACACAGATTTGTCCTGTTTTGTGTCGATGTCGAAGACGTAACTTTTCACTGACTTTTAACGCAAGATGCAGAAAATATTTAAAATTAAACTGAATGACATGCTTGTTGTGGACTGTCATCATTCTACCTGAATGTAGTGATCTGAAAAGACTACGTCCATTACTACTGACGGCTCAGTTTACTTATTTTTATTTACAATGATCACATCAAGTATGATTCAGTACCTTTTAGTAATTCTTGTTGCAAGGACTACGGTGTTGACCAGATTGTGTAATAGAAGTAAATCTCTTAGCTAATTTGACTTTAGGCACTCTTGAGAAAAATTTATATTCCAGTCACCACTTAGGATCATGGTTGTTCCTTTAACAGTTCACTTCTGGATCAGTGAGTCTAACTTACATAAGTATTAAAATTTCCACCCTGTGTTTTATTTCAGCAAATAATAATATTATAATCAGATAATTCTGTTTACTGGCTTTTCAAAGTTTTTTCTTCGTAATTTATTTCTTGAAGATAGTGTATCGGGTTTTTTTCTGTAAAGTACTCTTTTTGGCGAGCCGGATAGTTCAGTCAGTATAGTGGCTGACTACGGACGCGACGTCCGGGGGTTCGACCCCCAAGGGGAGCAGAGGATTTTTCCTGTAGCCTCTGAGGCTTGATTCGTGTACATATGTTCTTATGTTAAATTCTTCTGTTCTTGTTATGTATATCATTATTATTATGATTATTGTTGTTATTGATATTTTTGTTGAGATAGATATTATTTAGTTTGATGTTAGTCTTGTTATGTAAATAAATAGGACGAGGGTTCTTTTCGGGGGGGTAAAGCGCGGCCAGGGAGTGAAGCAGACCACTCACCTCTGTCTAGACCTGAGGCTAAGAATGAGTAGGAACTATACCTCCATTCCCCCAAGCTCCTACATGGCGTATGGTGGGGCAGCTTCTTGCTTTTACTTAACTTTTAAACGCTCTTTTTACGTAAATACATACCCCTCCTTTTTTCTCGTCCTTCTGCAAAATGAGCTTGCTAATTTGTTTCGACTGCCAGTCTTCTGTAAAACGTCGTACATCAACATATTTTAATCAGACTGCAATAGCACTTCCGGTTCTAACACTTTATTCTTTGAACTTTGAACATTTTGGTGGAGAACAGACATTGCACAGGGTCATTGCCCCATTCTGTTACATGCCTCAGGTTTTATCACACTATTTTGCAAGACTTATTGTCCATTGAAATCACTTCTTTTCTTGTTACTGGTTGTATGTGCATGTACATTTACATTATATCATCCGTGTTGTTATAGCCACGTGAAAATTAATATGCTATATGAATTAAAGTGCAGTAAAAGGCCTAGGATACTGTACTAGAATGACATTACTATGATCTGTTGAGAGGCGTCGTATGGTCAGATGTAGATGGGCTGTCTTAGCTGTTGTGTAGCAAAGCGTGAGGCTGAAGTGTTTGTTAGTGTTGTCTTGATAGTTTCTGCGCGTCTCATGTTCTTGTTTGATTGCGCCTGCAGTCCTTCGGAGTGCAAGGAACCGAGTCATGTGACTTCCCCGATGGGGCACAGTTTGAGGACCTATGCGGTTTCTTCTGGGTTTGACCCCAACGGAGAATGAACTATGTTGCTGACCCCGCGGTTTTTATGGCTTTGTGCCGCATGGCCGTTTATGCTACGGACGAAGTGGTGCTTGCGGCTTAGCTGTGAAGTCATCTGCACACGTGAGTACGATCAGTGGTTTAAACTGGTTTCTCTTAATTATGTATTTCCTCCTAGTGTAAGCATCTCGTCTAAATTCAGGGTGGAATGTCCTTCGTATCCTGATCCCTGTAGAACCTGTTAGTGCTTTTAGCCCCTTCGTTGTTTTGCCCAGTGTTTGTTTCCTGTCCCTTACACAAGTCTCATTAACTTTCCTCTCCCATCCTTGATACCTTATTCGTCTCACAAGGTGACTTCGGAGCGTGTGAACTGGCCGATATTTATAGCTTGTAAATTTAGCCTATATATATGGAAATGTTTAAACACATTGTCCTTGAGTCGTACGGTCAGGAACTCGGCAGGTCGCCAAGGAGAAGGCCATTTGAGGTGTAGGCGCGTTCTTGATTGTAATAAACACTGTGTTTATTGGGCGAATTGTATGGTTTAGTGTTTTATTTGTTGTAATTGTGCCTGTGCATTAAAGATACATTCGGACATGCCTGTGATTATAATGCCTGATACAGGGCCTCGTCATTTCACCGTAGAAGAATCATGCCGCCTGAGGCAATGTCGCCACCATAATTAATTATCAAACGATTTGAATTGAGCGCGCTCTGTTCGCACTGATATCAGTAGTTGCGCCACACAAACAGCCTAGAGCTGTTAAGGCTTGTTCACACACAGCCAGTAATTTAGTCGAGTAGCAAGTAGTTTAGTTACTTACCATGTGCGGACATTAAAATTTAGTCGAGTAGTTTAGTGAAACGATTTAGTCGAGTAGATTCATTTCATTATATTTTCTTGGTCGAGTAGGCTTCCCCCACCCCTATACAACTGAGCTCGGGACATGTCTGAACACGTTTGTTTAGTCAAGTTCATTAGTAGCCAAAATGACGCGCTGGAATGAAGAGATGACAATTCGCTTTATTACTGAATATTTAAACCATGAATCGCTGTGGAATGTGGAAAGTGAACTGTATAAAAACAGACAAACAAAACAAGCTGCGTACCTGAGTTTGGAGAAAACTATGAATATACCTGGATTTACAGAAAAGGATATAAAGTTGAAAATCAAGAACATCGCAGGAATTAAAGAAAATTAAAGATTCTAAGAAATCTGGAGCTGGGGTTGATGCAGTTTATGTTCCAACAGTAAAATGGTTCCACTTATTGGCTGAGTCATTAAGAAATATCTATTTAGAAATGAGAGAAACACAAAGTAATTTGGTAAGTATGTATTCTGATGTAGGGGAGAATGGGCAAATGGCGGTCACTTAAGAGAAAAGCTAGATAAAACGAAAATTATACTCAAAGTTGAAACTTTATATGAACTAGCATTTAGTCTGAAGGGTCTACTTCTTAAGTATGCAGTATAAAATACGTTGAACGTAACAAAAAGTCTCTAGGAAATGATAACTGAAGACGTAGCTTTTACTGGTATTTCCCACCCTTAGGGGTAATGACGGTCACTATTTGACCTTCAAGGTGTCACTGAAGTAAATAAGATAATGAGTGAATAAAATGTGTTTTCTTAGTAAGTAATAGGCATATATCTTAGTTTACAAAACGTGTACACGTCTAAATCATTTGAACGTATAAATTCTAACGGAATGTTAAGATAGAAGTCTTCAACCACCTTTTTAATTTTGTATTTCTCCTTCTCAAACACAGATCACAAATATAATCATCAGTAAATTCCCAGCCACTGCCCAGATACCACAGCCAGTGCATCCATAACAGAGTTCTCCGTATTCCCCATAGTCTTCACAAATGAAGCATTTTTATAATCTTTTTTATGTCATGTTCTTCAATTTTGATCGTTTACCTCGGTGTCCTCTTCTAATGAAGCAGCAGCTTTTCTTCAAATTCTTCCTGCAGAGTTTCTTTCTCTCTTGGAGGCTTGTTTCCTTATTCTGCCTTTTCTTAGGAAATATTGCTGTTTGCCTACTTTTATTCTGTGCTTTACATTTCCCTCTAATAACTTGCTTCCTAAAGAACCCTTCATGGGTGTCCCTGTCAGAATCTCTGAGTGCTGCTTGCCTCTGCTTTTTCTGCAACGTGTCCGTGGACCCACCATAGGTAATGGAGATCCTTTACCGCCATTACCCCAAACGCGTAACTTCAAATGAAAGGCGTGTTGCCGTGAAATAGCACATATTTATTCATATTCATCTACGCAGTTATAACATCCAACTCTCACATGTTATGTGCACCCACAAGAAAAATTCATATCATTCAAAGAAAGTTCACTCACCTCAGGTATTAATATGTCAAGTATTAGATCACTGGAGCATAAAACAGACACATGCGACTATCTCGGTAACTGCACTAGAAGCAAATGGCGGAATTCGCTGTTGCACTTCACTGAATGAAGCACTGGATGTCAGCAACAGCTTGAAGTTTATATCTGGTACCATTCGTCAGAAAAGTGCCTAACCGGCATTACCCAATTACCGCCATTCCCCCGTCCTCCCCCACTGATTTACAAAACATTTTACTTCAAAAATATTCTCCAGAATTTGTGTGACACTTGTTGCAGTAACAGTCAGTTAGTTAAGAAATAATTTTGGAAAAAGGAGGCTGCGACATTTTCATATTTCGAATTCGTGTCCTTCTACCGAGTTAAAAGTGCTTAAGACACGACGCGATTGATGAATTTCCTGCTTACCATGTTAGCCGTTCATACACGTTACAAGGACAGAATGTAATTACATTTGTCAAATGAACGTGAGAATTACAGTTGGGAGCA